CAGCCTTTCCCTTACCAAGCAGTATGTCTGTGTGTGTGTAAGTGAGTAAAGTTACATTGCAAAGAGAGAGGCAGAGAGATGGATTATTTTTCCTGAAGTGTGGACTTAAGTTTTTGCTCTGTGCTGCTGGGTGGCCCACTCCGCTTTAGCCGTGTTAACATAAGAATAGAGTGGTGAGGGAGGGGAGGGAGGGGCTGGGTAGCCGGGTAGCTGGTTTAAATTATTCTGTGCCTCCACTGCTGCATAGCAGGAGCTGTTGTTATCCACTTAGAACATCAGACGATTTGTTCCTTCTCTCTCCCTCTTCTCTCCTTCTCTCAACCCTGTGGGCGTCTTTATTCGGGACCCTTTGTACCAGTGTTATTTTATAATGCCTGTCCAGGGTGTACCTCATTCCCTGCCACTTGTACGCTTGTCCCATTTGGATTTTTTCTTTTTAAATTCAGAAAAAAAAGAGCTTTTAAAAGACATGTGTTGCTTCCAGGTTTTCCCGTGCAAAAGCATCATAACTGATTTGAGTTCAGATTTTTGTGTTCAGTGGTGTTTTACCTCCAACTAAGCTCTAACTTCAGTGGAGTAAAAGATTCATCCCCATGTGGGGATTACCTAAAAATTCTAAATATCAAATGTTAACTCTCTTGGCCGTCGTCCAAGCTCAGTGACGAGGGCTGTGACGCTTGAAGGCCCAGATGAGGAATGCAGTTATGAGGAGATGTTTGTATACATTCAGCCTGCGCCTTGGAAAGCAACGATGGTGGTTGCTTAAAGACATCTGGATGCGATGAAATGCCATTTGTCTAAACAATCAAGAGTCTTACCAAAGCCACCCAATGTGCGCTGTGCTTTTAGTACATACTTGTGCAATGTGCTTCAACAGAAAGGGATAGCCTCCTGACAAATATTTCATTGCAACAGCCTCATGGGATCTCAAAATGAGTTACTTTTTTTTCCTCATAAATAAGACTGAGGCAAGTCAGCGAGATTCTAATCTAAATATGTAATTTTGGTACTTATTCGTTTTAATACAAAATGGAAAATGGTGAACAATAACATCTCATATGTGGTGTTTGACCATCAGCTATTATGTCAGTCGGAATTTAAGAGTGCTGAAATGAACTTTAACTACCCTTGATCACAAAAGGTGCGACATCAACTTCGCAGGCTAAAGACACAAAATCACTAGATAAACAACTAGAGAGAAAATGAAGCATCATCTGTCAAAAGAAAGGCCACATCTTTAGATTTATTTTCTAATTAATTCCATTTAAACAAATGGTCTGGGCAGTCATGGCAGCCAGTGTTCTGACTATGCCAATGGTGTGTGTGAGCGTGTGTGTGTGTGTGTGTGTGTGTGCTGGTGGTGGTAGTGAAGGGGGCAGGCAGACATGACTGGGATAATAAGCGTCATGGAATCTAATCAGATTTCTAAGAGGAATTGATTGTTGTGAGGCAGCCGGTGCAGGAATGGGGTTGACAATAAGCTGAAATTTAAGTGTTAATTTTTATGCTAATCCTCTGGCATCTCTGTCTGATGCAATTTGGTCCAGCAGCCCCTCGACTTTGCGCCGCAAATATGAAATTGTCCTGCGTACAGAGAAAATGTCAGCTTGCCAGACCCTGAAAGCTTGTAATTTATTAGGTATGTTTCTATTAGTATGTGTCACAGTTGTTAGAGAGCCACATGCGCAGGCAGGCAGCCACACCACCTTGTTCTCTCCCTCCCTTCCCTTCTCTTTCTCTATATCTCACTCATTCTATTACTCTACGCCAACTTGCCTCATCCTCCCTTCTCCACCTTTTTTTTTTCTCTCTCTCTCTCTCTCTCTCCACATTGGCATCCATTTCTTTAGCATGTCATGCACATGCACGCATGCACACACACAATGGCACACACACCATGGTCTCGGCTCAGTGGCTGCTACACTGGGGCCTTAATGTGTTATCATATATCGGGTGGTCCTTGCCCCCTGGACAAAAGGCTATTTAATACAATTTAATGACATTCCGAAGAATTTGTGTGTGTGTGTGTATATGTGTGTATGGGAATGGGGGGGTGGAGAGGGGTTGGTGGGGGGGCTTTGAATAAAAGAGAGAAGGAGGGAAAGGAGAAAGAGAAAGAAAAAAAAAAAAAAAAAAGGAAAGGCAGAGGCCCAGATGAAAATAGCCTCTGTTTTTCATGGCTCACCCATGCAAACATTGCAGTGTAAAACGCATGACTTTGCCTCCTCATTTTCTTTTTGTGTCTCTGTTTCTACCTGTGGAGGAAAATGTTGTTGGAGGGGGGGGCTGAAGATGACTTCAGAAACACTTGGCCTTGCCAGGGTAACTAAGGTGTCACAACCAGGGGAAGATATTTTATTTTTTTTACTTTTAACAGAACAAAAACTGCTATGTACCACAAAAAAAAAAGCTCCATTATACCCACTACTCCATTTCAAAGTGTTGAAATTTTACAAATTCCATTGTGTTATACCCTAGTTTGATACTATGTCATGTATTTTTCAGCAAAAGCCATTCAATGTATTTACATTCTGCATGTACATGTTTTATTATTACTGAATATTTCCATGCAGGATTTAAATTGCATAATCATACACAAGGGAGTCACAGTAAATAAATTGTGCATACGCTGGACACGAAGACAAAAGCTGGTGCATCTGCACATTTAACTTATAATGTGGAAAACATCTAGTTTTAAACGGAACTCCCCGGCCCAACAAGTTCATATACATAAATATTTGTAATGGTAAACCTATTGAAAGAAAATGTATTGGAAAAAAGCATGATTTTACCAGGTTTACATGCAGAAAAATCATCACTTAAAGGAACATATTCAGTGACTGTGTCTGCAAAGTTGAAGAATGCTCACACTCAACAGATCTGTAAGACCACTCCTGGAAAATATGATTAACGTTTTTATGGGTCTCAATGGAGGCCAGTCAATAGAAGGCGCACATACAGCTTTCCAGCAGCCATAAAGCTTAAGTGTCAAATTTTTGCTATTTTAGCTATTTTATCTACTGTTCGGCAGTTTAGTCTATAACAATATATGTTTTGTAAGCTCATCCCAAGATCTTTCTGTAAAATATAACTCCAGAGTAAGTGTAAAATACAATATTTCCCTCTAAACTCTAGTAAAGTATGAAGTAGTATTAGATTAAAAATACTCAACTGCATTATTTGAGTAGGTGTAATTAGTTACTTTTCATCACCACCTGTTCGTAGGGAAAAGATGTCATCTGTGAAGTGTAACAGAAAAAACAAAAAAACAAAACAGGAACAAACAATTAGTTTTGACATTTTTTCAGCAATCTTTTTCCTATTTTCATTTTTCTGTGTTCTATGTTTAGTCATCTTCTTCTTTATGTTTAAACACTGATAAAATCGCAGTGCTCCCTGCTCATATGTTGAGTGGTACTAGAAAGCCAGTTAAAACTGTACTCAGTGGGCCCAGAAAACACACTGAAAGGTTTGGATGCAATTCACATATAGGTCAATTAAATGCAACAACATCTGCTCTCTCCCTACCATTTGCATATAGCATTCATATGTTAATGATGTCCCTTGTTTTTTTTTTTTTTTTTTTTTCTGCATGTGTGTATGTGCATGTGTGTTTGTGTGTGCTATTTGTTTCTCTCTTTTTTTTCCTGTACTTCCTCCCCTCCTCCAAGTCTCTTTGTATCGCCAAACAAAAAGAGATGCTGAAAATTCTGATTCATACTTCCTTTTTTGAAAAAAACAGATACGCCCGTCCTATTTTCACTTCCTCTCGCCTAACGATTAAAGGGGAGGTTAGACGAGTGCCACAGTTGTTCCATTGCCATGCCCCTGATTTCGACAAGAAGCCCCTTTAACAGCAGAGAAGGCGAGGCCCTATCTCTTCCCCAAGCAGCTTAATGCCTTATAAATCAATGATGACACAGATGGACTAGCGATAATCTATTTAGAATGCCTCACAGCAAATATTGTTGTGCAAATGATTAGACAGCCAGTTATTTTAACTCAGACCCCTAAACCCAATCTTCCGCTTCTCCTAATGCTCCTCAGATTTATAGTAGTAATTTGGGATTTGACATTTTTGTTATTTGAAATAAATTTGGCAGAAAACAGATGTACAAAATGGTGAAAATTAAAAGTGAAATCAGGTTGTGCCAGGGCAATGTGTGTCTACATGTTTGTTTGTCTGTGTGCATGTGTGTTTAAGAGAGACAGTGTATGTGTGTTTGGGTGGCATGGGCAGCTTGAGGAACAAAAGACACTGGTGCTGGTGTCTCTGCCAAGGCCATAATGATAAGGCATGTTTCTTCAAAGATGGGGGAGGCAGACCTTTTGCAGAATTGTATCTCCAGGGCATTTGTGTGTGTCTGCGCGTGTGTGTCTGTGTGTGCGTTCGACAGTCTAGTGACACGAAGGGGGTTAATGGCAATCCAGGGTCTCTGCCCCTTTTCATGGTCGATGGGTCTCAATTTAGCGTGTGAGGGTGAGGAGGAGGAGGAGGAGGAGGAGGAGGAAGAGAAGAGGAGGAGCTGGAGGAAAAAAGAACAGAGGAGGAGTGCAAAAATGAAGTGGAGGTTGTCAGACGTGGCAGCTGCTTGGAGGCCCTGATAAATATAAGCCCTTATTGATCGGTTGAAAATGAAAGATCCCCGAGTGGCGTGCAGTATTTAGCTTCTTGTCTGCCTCGCGTCAGCGGTGGCCTTGCCTTGGAGGGATAGATTTTCAGCTGTGCCTCCGGGCACCGCAGCGCCCCGGCTTTGATTTCATCTTTAACCTTTTTCAGCTGCGTTCCCTTGACCTCTGAAGCAGCGCTTACTGAATTTGTTAGATTTCCATCTTGACATCGACCCTTCCCCCCACCTCGTGCTCGTCTTCCTTTCCACCCATCACTGTCTTCTTCTTAATGCTGCATCCCCTGTCCATTTTCCTCTTCACCTCTCAGGTCTATATTTCATTATCACCTCCTCTTCTAATCCTTTCCCTCCTCTGTTGTCTCCCTCTAGGTGGCCATTTCAGTAAGCAGTAGTCAGTGAGGAGCGACAGCGAGAGGTCTCTTGATCTTACCAGACAGGTTGCGCACCAGTATGCAGTTGGTGTATTAAGGTAAGTTCACACACTAATCATAAGTTAGCCTGGAGCAAAATGTCCTCAACTTGATGATTTTTTTCACATTTTTCAAAACCCTGTACAATATTTGCTTCCCACACTGTAAGGATAAAATAACAAGACACATATACACACAAATAAATGCACACATGCACTCACACATTCCAACTGTTCGTCATTCACTCACCATTTAGTCTTATCCCCAAAGGCACTCTGTCTTAAACCAAAACACACACACACACACTCGCACACACACATACACACACACACTCAAACAGCTACAGTACACTGCTGCTATGTGCGCAGACAGAACTTGTAACAATCTGGATTGTGATAATCTATGATAATCATCCACCACATGCCACCTAAAAACGCACATGGGTGGCATTCAACACCCACACTGGCACATTGCTTCAGTGTATCTCGTCTCCCTCTGCCACTCTCCTCAATGTCACTACCTCCAGCGTCAATGTCACCACTCGGCTCCTTATTTCTCTTTTATGTATGAGGAGGCTCGCACTATAACACACAGTGAAGGGGGGAAAAGGAACGAATCTTGAACAATTTATGTTTGGCATTAGTGTAATTGAATCCCACTCGTATATCAAAGTAAGAAAGTTGCGAGGTGTGGGTGATATAAATGCAAGGTAGGGATCCATGAAAACACAGATCTGTCCCTCCCCTTTTCCTTGTCTCTTGAACAATGTCTCCCATCTCTTTTTTTTCCTCCCCTCTCCCCCCCCTCCTTTAGCTAGATGGATGATAAATTCCCAGCTACAGAGCCAGCAACAGCTGTTGGCAGACAGGCCTGATATGAGAATAGCAGCATAGGATGAGCAGGCATTAAAAATTAATATGCTATTTAGCCTAGGTGTATTTTAGGTATTTGACATTTTCATGTCCGGGACAGACTAAATTTATTCATAGTACAGAAAAAAAATAATAAAAAATACAAAAAAGAGGAATGGGTGTAGGGATGAGGGTGGGTGATGCAGGGAACACTAAGTGAAGGCCATTCTGGTTTTATGGTCACCCTGTTTCACTTTGCCTCCCACCACAGTGATCATTGTGTGCGTGTGCGTGTGCGTGCGTGTGTGTGTGGGTGTGTGAGTGTGTGTGTGTGTTATATGTCTGCCTCAGAGTAGAATATGACAAGGCTGGAAGTAATGATAACACCACACACAAGTGGAAACTGTTGTCCAGCAAAGCTACTTTTATCTCCTCATGGAAAGTCTAGATTAGTGAATGTGTAAGCAGCACAATAGCCAGATAGATACAGTATGATTGTGTTAGAGCTGAAAATCTGTGTAATCATCTTTCACTGTTGAGCAGCCTTACTGTCATACCTATATTAAAATTTTTAAGACGTTATTTTTAAATCTGACCAGATTATTTTCCCAACCTAAACCAATAAGTTTTTTTTTTGTTCCTTAGCAAACCGTGACAATAGTTGTAGTTGACCTATAAATTGTTGTATAAATGTGTTTTGTTCTTTGTAATAATTAATGTCCTGCTGATATATGAGTTAGATCAGAAAACCAAGGGATTGTTCTAGAATATATTGACTATTTAGTCATTCAGCCTTTATAATGTATTGATTTTTACCAAAAAAAAGTACAGATGAATAGTTTGTAAGATGGTTTCTTTCAATAAATTTGTTCAATATGCTGGTCAGACGCAAATAATAACTTTTTAAAATAGATTTATTGGAGTCTAAATAATGTTACTTGGTGCTTTATAAACAAACTATGATTAATTACTACAAGAATTAGTTGGAAGTTCATAATAGCCATGGTTTACAAATCAATCTACTCAAACTACTACTTCAAACTATCCCTCTAAATATTTGTATAGATGCTTTACATACTATTAATGAGTGATTTCACACATCAGAAGGGTTTTAAACAGCAGTTGCAACTTTATAATAGCAATGCAAATAATGTTTTTAAATGGGTTACAAAGTAACTATTACAAATATGTGGCCCATTTAGCTACACAGTGATTACAGATGTTTTGCAATTTCTGAAAGCCTCACAAATCATTCAGTCATCATTAGTAAAATATTTAAAATAGTATACAAACTTCTAATTGCAAATAAAAAAATATATGTTTAGTGTCTTATAGCATTAACTTTCATTGTTTTATTCACTAAAGTGTTCACTTGAAGTAGCCTACTTGCAGAGGAGGCAACGTTGTTGCATAGAAAAGCAACGTGCATTGTTAGAAGGACATTTTGTCTGGTTTCATTTGATGTGTACAACATTGAATTGCAATACATACCTCATTTTAATTAAACCAAAAGAAAAGTGGTGAATTTGGACTCTAATTTGCTCCAAGGGTTAAAAAAATAAAAATTACATTACATTTTAAAAATTTCAAAAAATGTAGAATGTTGAATAAAATGTACAGATCCACTCACAGGACAGAGCTAGCCTCCTGGATATGTTTATTGAGTATTTTGGTGTCATCTAACTCAGGCTTTTGTGCCTTTAGAAAATGGCACTGCCCATCACAGACTCAGAACACATCTGTACTATAGGGCCGAATAAATGAACAGCCAGAGTCTCTGCAGGAAAAGGGCCAAAGTTGGCACTGTAGAGCCACAGACTTTCTGATCCAGTTTAGTTTTCTACCCAAGTGAGCCCCCAGGTATTTGTAATCCTCTACCACATCCACCAACTCATCCCTAATGGAAAGAGGAGACAGAGTCTCCTGAAGTGTACCACCAGTGTACAAGGTCAAGACAAAAGAGGGTGGGACAGTCCCCCATGGAGTTTCGGTGCTGCTTACCACTGTGGCAGACAGAGTTCTAAGATAGTTCATGATCCAGGACACGAGTGAAGCATCAGTCTGCATGGTGGCCATCTTGTTGTTCAGCAGAGCAGACTGAATGGTGTTTAGGAGAAAGGAAAATGCAATTAAAAAAAACCAAACCAAAACAAAACAAAACAAATAAAAAAAAACAAAAAAAAAACCACATGATTCCGACAGCACCTTTTGGCTTGTCCAGATGGGTATAGGCATGGAGGAGTAAGTGTATGATGGCACTGTCAACTCCTACTCCTCGTCGATAGGTGAATGAGAGGGAGTCTAAATAAGGCTTGACCATGGTTGGAATGGAAAGTAAGACCAGTCTTTCCAAGGCTTGTGGTATATTAACACTTACCTCAGGAATTCCTTGGTGGCACCGTGATGGGTCTATTTGGATGCAGGAATCAGGCAGGATGTCTGTCTCCAGACACATGCTGAGGTAAAGAGTTGTTGGATGGCACCACTCCTGGGGGGAACATGCTTTGAGGATCCTTGGACTGATGTCAGTCAGATCTACAGCCTTGTTTGTGTAGAGTTTACTCAGTGCCCCCCGACTGGCACAGCACAGGTCAGCAGACGGACGTGCACTCATCAATGTGACACTGAATGTCAAATGTACTGAAGAAATGGTTCCACTCATTGGCTTTATGGATGTGCCCATTACTGCTCGAGTGCTGGGCTTGTAACCAGTGATGGTCCTCATGCATCTGCAGACCTCCCTGGTGTCACTCTATTGTAGCCTCAGCTTCCTCTGACGGGCCTGTTTTGTCTCTCTGATATTCACTGACTGTTGTTTTTGGACCCTGATCATCGCCTTCCAGTTCCTTGACCTGAACACCCTGTTCTTTGATGGCAATTGCAGGTGGTCAGTACATTCCTAAATGTGGACCAAGTTGTGGTTTGATTGAACAAAGGGCAAGAAGGACACTAGCACTGTAAGCCTCTTGGCACTAGCCTACATCAGATCCAGAAACTTCTCAGCTGTGGTTGGGTGGTCCATAAATGGGGACAATTTTGTCTAGTGGCATTTGATTTAAGTCTCCAGAGATGGTGAAGCAAGCGCTGGTGGGCAGAGTGTGGAGTCGCGGGAACAGAGTAGGAGTTGGTTGTTGGGTTAGTTGAGGGGTGTAAACACCAACTAAGATGGCATACAAAAATTCCCTGGTTATGTTGAATGCATGTAGTCCCACTGCTAACTGGGCTGCAAAAAATTCCCCCACAACAATGTGACAAGCGTGGCATCATTTTAGTAAAAGCATTAGACACTGCCTTTTACCTTGACACTGCCTGCCCAAACTATCGTCATATAGCCATGTCTTAGGAAAACAGGCAACAGTACAGCCCCATGGGGTCCCCCTGATTCTGTCCTGGGGTCATTAACTTGTCCTCCTTCTAATTTCTACAGGGATGCCCGTTGTTGTAGTTCTGTTTGTAGCAGGATTAGCTCACCCCCCCCCCCCTAGACAATGTGAGCAAAAAGTTGCTGGTCAACAGTAGCATCATTGAGCAAAAGACACAACAATACGGTGAAAAAACAGAAGCGAAAACTCCCAGCCATCATGTCTAGAGACAGCTCAACAAAGTCACCAGCAATAATCCAAACGAGTGTCAATAAAAGGAAAGGAGTTGAACAAACCTGAAAACAAACAAGGGCAATGGTGAAATTCTGTATATGCATTTGCCGCATGTGGGCAGGAAAGAGATCAAAGTTTTTGGAAGGTGATGTGTTAGAAAAAGCACATTTGAGTTCCAGGGAGAGGGCACTGTGTGGGCATTTTGTGTTTGTTTGAACTGACATTATAGTAACAGTCATTTTGAGGCGACTGCATGCTTCAAAGAACTGAGACCCATGGAAGCCCATTTTTGGAATTTTGGATCACTTTGACTTAGCTTCTTGTGTTTTAGTTTGAGTTCTAGTTTGAGAATAGAACTAGATGTACAGTACAAGAAAGTTGAGCCCCATGCTGACAAGAAACGGACAAGATATACTGTAGATGTAAAGTATTGACTGAGCTTAGACCCCTGTTGGTTTTGACAGCAAAAGTACAAGTCCCATGCAGGGTCATGCTCGGACAGCACTCTCTCTCTTTATCACTCCCTCTCTCCGTCTCTTCCTCTCACTCCACCTTTGGTGATTAATGGCTAATGCTGCTCCAGTACATCTTTATATCCCTCCTCATCCTTCC